CGGCGCCTCCGTTAGCGCCAACACGTACACGCCGCTTTCGACTGCACTGGTGGATCCGTACGTCAGCTACAGCAGCAGCTGCTTCGATAGGGCCGCGGCTTTCGAGAGCACGACGTCGTTTTCCTCGATCCCCCTTCAGCCGATTCCGAAGTGCTTGATAAACACTTCGGGTCCGATATCTGGTAGTCTTGTTCCGAGTTCGGGTCCTCTGGAGAGGGGGTTCATGTCGGGTCCGATCGAGAGGGGGTTCATGTCGGGTCCTCTTGATAATATCAGTAACAATTATAGTCGAGGGTTATTTTCGGGTCCACTCGATAGAGGCTTTTCCGATCAGTTCCAAAGAAGCTTTTCTCATGGAGCTTTTGCTTTTAAACCCAGATCGAGAAAAGGGTCTTTAATTCGGGTCCTCCAAAGAGCAATCTCGAAAACCGTCTCTCGCGGCCAAAATTCCGTCGTGACTCCGATTAAAGGCGTTGTTTCAGTTAAAGAAGCCGAATGGATAGTTGGGTCCGAAAAGAACCCGATTCATCATCACAACGAGAATTTGACAGTCAGTAGCTTGAATCTGAGCAGTGAATGCAGTTTAGACGATGACGAGTCAATGGAAAGTCAAAATCTTCAATGGGCACAAGGGAAAGCCGGCGAGGATCGGGTGCACGTCGTCGTATCTGAGGAGCACGAATGGGTTTTCGTTGGGATTTATGATGGATTCAACGGCCCTGATGCTCCTGATTATTTGTTATCAAATCTGTACTCCAATGTTCATAAAGAACTCAAGGGTTTATTGTGGGATGACGGGTTCGAACAAGCCCCTGCAAATTCCCCTGAAGACGAAGAACAGAGCAGGGAATCGGAATCAGCTAGTGGTTGTTCATATGATGCATGTTCAAGGTGTTTAGAGCAAGAAAATTATCCCGGTGAGAAGGAAGATGCGGACAAGAATTCGGGTTCAAAACCGAAAAAAGGAAGGAATTCCGAAGCCAAGTATAAAGGCAAGGCGACGAGGTGGGAAGAGAATCAGAATAGGTGGAAGTGTGAATGGGATAGGCAAAGATTAGAACTTGATAGGAAATTAAAGGAACAACTTAGTAGAAACAAGTCCGGTGGATCAAGATCGATGTTGATAAACCATGGTGATGTTTTGAATGCTTTGTCCCAGGCTTTGAAGAAAACAGAGGAGTCTTATTTGGATATTGCTGATAAGATGCTGATGGAGAACCCAGAACTGGCTTTGATGGGTTCTTGTGTGCTTGTTATGTTGATGAAAGGTGAGGATGTTTATGTGATGAATGTTGGGGATAGTAGGGCAGTTTTGGCTCAAAAAACCGAGCCGGATTACTGGTTGGGAAAGACTAGGCAAGATTTGGAAAGGATCAATGAAGAAACATTGCATGATCTTGAAGGTTTTGATGGAGATAGATCTGATGCAATCCCTGATTTAAGTGCGTTTCAGCTTAGTGTGGATCATAGCACCAGTGTTGAAGAGGTAAAATTTTCTCACACTGATCTTTTTAGTACACTAATAGACGATTTAGATACCATTTTTAACCATGGATGGATTGAGCTTGATGCTTTATTTCATTGCAGGAAGTTCAAAGAATAATAAACGAACATCCTGATGATGCTTATGCGTTGATGAATGACCGAGTTAAAGGTTCTTTGAAGGTCACTCGAGCTTTCGGGGCTGGTTTTCTCAAACAGGTAATTCTGTCTAACTTTTAAGATAAAAACATATCAGATTAGATTTTGATTCCTTGGTGGTTTGAGAAATGAACATTTTTGGTAAACTTTGAGCCTTTGAGGCTTTAAGGGTTGCCCTTTTTTAAGGAATTGTCCAAAATTGGCCTAGTTATAATCAAGGTTCTAAAATGAGACATCAGAAGATAAAAAAGAGCAGTTGTTGCGGTACTAAGAACCATTGTTACAACTTGGTCAAGTTAAAGCTTCCTGTCCAAAGAATATGGTTTTTTAGAAAAGAAGAGACAAATGATATTCTTCAAATGGATGAATAACATGACAGAAATAAAAACAATTCGACTACGGTTGTGATTGTTTTACCTTATAAAGAGGGGGCCTTTATTCTGTTTAAATCAACTGTTCCCATTTTCAAGGGATGTGCTCTTGGAAGCACTCCCTTTCTGCAATGTAGTGGACCATAGGAACTTAGAACTGAGGTTTGCTTTGTACGTTGCACTTTGGCTTTTGAACTTTTGTTGGATTATATTTGAAAGTTTCCGATTTAATTCCATATCTAACGACTCTCGTTTCGGATTTCAACTATTCCAGCCTAAATGGAATGATGCATTGCTAGAGATGTTCAGAATAGATTACAAAGGAACTTCTCCATATATCACTTGTGCTCCATCTCTTCACCACCACAAATTAGGTCCCAAAGACAGACTTTTGATATTATCATCCGATGGCCTCTATCAATACTTAACGAACGAGGAAGCTGTATCTGAAGTTGAACTGTTCATCACAATGCAACCCGAAGGAGATCCTGCTCAGCATCTCGTTGAGGAAGTGCTGTTCCGAGCAGCAAAGAATGCTGGTACTATTCAAATGCCAATCTCCTTTTAATCTACGTTCCTCATGTATACAGTATACCAAAAGATTAATACCAAAATCCAACATACTTGGTGCTACTTATTACAGGCATGGACTTTCATGAGTTACTTGAAATACCACAAGGAGATAGACGCCGATACCATGACGACGTATCCATTATAGTTATTTCTTTAGAGGGAAGAATATGGAGATCTTGTGTATAAGTAGAGAAAACAATAGATAGAAAGATATAGATATATCTACTAAAAGAAGTCGAAATTTCCCTTTTTTCGACCTTTTTTTTTCTGGTCACCATTGTAACATAGCTATTAAGCTCCTCCAAGTTCCTGAGGAACTTAGTTGTGAAATGTAGCTTGGTGGTGCAGGGGGTTGTAAAGGTGTAAAAGCTGGTTCATGTTGAATATATAAACTGTCATAAAAATTGCAATATTTTTACTAATAAATGATAAATCCTTTTGAAAAGCTGTCTCATTTGTTAAAAAGTGATATAACTATACGTTTTCCTCCTTTTGTAACACTATTACAAAGATTTTTTCTTCTTTGATACATAAATACGAAAATATTTCTTTTGAATCGATTGACAATGCAAACAACATACAGATTCGTTTAAACTTAGATCCTTAGGTCCTTTAGATAATATAATATTTTCTTATATCAATGAGATTGTTTAAACTTAGGTCCTCTAGAAAATATAATACTTTCTTATATCAAAGAGGTCAGGATTCTTAATGCTAAGATGTAAAAAACAGATCATTTGCTGCTGTTGCTCCTGCAAATCATCACCATTATTTTGGTTTGCAGAAAATATAGAAATTAAAAGAAGTTTGAATTTATTTCAAGCAGAATGAAGCACTGAGTGTTCATTTATTGATGGTGAGAAGATGTTAAAAGTATAGGTGAAAGTCATGAATGAAACCTGCAATACATACCCCCACCCACCCAAAACACACTCCCCCTTAAATGAAGTTATAATTAATATTTAAAACCCTCTTTTTTTTTCTATCCATTGCAAAGAGGAAGGCGGAGGAGGAGGAGGAGGAGGAGGAGGAGGAGGAGATGAAGAATGGAAAGCCTTGTTCCACGTAGATCACTTGGATGAGGTGTAGGACCCTACTGCAGTACCCATAAATTTCTCACAACAGCTAACCACTTTGGCAATTGGAGAGTAAATGCATGGTCGTTGGGGCAATGCTTAATTAGCCCTTGGGACTCGAAGATTGTATCCATGTTGGACTGCTCATACTTTTATTTTTCTAGTAGGCTCCCATAGGCCTAGTTTCAGAACAAAAGAAGTGCTAGCCAAGACCCAGAGGCGGATGCACTAAGCTCCCTAGGGGTCAAGTGCATCTCATTATTTAGTAAAAAAAATGAAATTTAGTATAATATGTTAAAAAAATGAGAATTTTTTTTGCACCCTCATTATTTTTAATTTTTTTATAAAATTTTGGGCTATCATTTATAAATTTCTGGATCTGCCACTGCGAAGACCGTTGTGCACGTGTGAATGTAGTCACACTTGGAATAAAAATGTTATATATTGGTATCAAGTCTGATTCATGTTTCATGCAAATTAATTAAACTTATTTTTTAGACAATACTTTAATTCAACCACTTTGAAATATTGAAGAGATAGGCCAACCTTTAAATATGGGAAATAACATGTAGGAAGTTGTTGGAATTGTCTGAACAGGACTTGATTTTTAAAACAATCACACTAGTGTACAACTAGTGTTGTAAGGAAACAAGACCTAAAAGCACTAGAATAAATTCATCTTATTATCGTCAAACTGAAAAAGGCTGGTAAAATTACAAACTTCAAAAATACATTTTATGAAAATTCTAAATTTTCGATTTAAGTAAACACGTCATATAAAACATAGACACATCTTGGTATATTAGCTCAATCTTGGTCATAAATAATTGGGATGGTTACCAATCTTCATCCTATGCGGGAAATATGAGTAGCCTCGTGGCAGGCGATGTGGGATCAACACAAGATTAAGGACTAATATAATTCTTTAGCTTTTCCTTTTCATTCAGGAAAAAAAATACCATAGACATTATAGAAAATAAAGTAAACCAAAGTCACTTAACTATAAATATTAGGTGTAATTTTGATTTTTTCTTGAATTTCTTCACCAACGACATTGCTCTGTAGTTTGTTTAATCTACCGATTCAGCTAGGATCATGTCAACCTTAAGCAAGAATCCCAGCAACATGGGTTCTCCTTTCTTCCATGAATTCAAGAAACAAGCTTCCTTCTTCCTCAAGGAGAAGATCAAAACAGCTCGTTTAGCTTTAACTGATGTTACCCCAGCCCAGCTGTATCATTCTTCTTCAAAAAAATTTTTCTCTTTGATTCATAGTTATCTTGTGAGTGAAAAAGGGTGTTGTTTATGAATCCTGCAGGTTGACCGAGGAAGCTACGAATGGGAATACGTGGACACCAAATACCCAGACCCTGGGTTCCATTTCAAGGGCTGCTTTTGAATTAGATGATTACCGGAGAATTGTTGAAATTTTGCATATAAAGTAGGCTTTTAGTACAAAAACCCTCTTCTTTTTTTCTTTTAAATTTTGATGGGATTTGATGTTTTTGCTTGCATGAACCAGGTTGGGCAATTTTGAAAGAAAGACATGGAGAACCTCTTACAATTCTCTGATTGTTCTTGAACATTTGTTCACACATGGACCGGAGAGTACGGCGGAAGAATTCCAGGCCTATCAAGTTGCTATTCTAAAGATGCAAAGCTTTCAGTTCATAGACGAGAAAGGGTTTTTTTTTCTTCCATTTAATTCGATCTAATTCGATTCGATCATTAGAATTCGACAATTCAAATCTATTTGCAGATTCAATTGGGGATTAGCTGTTAGGAAGAAATCAGAGTGTTGAAGCTGCTGGAGAAAGGGCCTGTTTTGAAAGAAGAGAGGAACCGAGCTCGGAAGCTAACACGGGGGATCGAAGGCTTTAGTAGTTTCTCCCAGAGGTCATCTTCTTCTTCAACACAAGGCATTTTACAAGAATCATCATCACATTTAACGTAAGGAAGAAGCAATTTCGGTTTCGTTGATCATGAAAATCGGCTCCCGGTCACGAACAAGGTCGATAAACCAGAGTGGTAGAGCAATGAGACTGCACCACCTGAAGCCGAAACAAGTAGTTTCAAAGAAAACATGGGTCCATTGAAGGAAGAAGTTCATAACTGGACCGAGACTGGGGAGTGTAATCCACTTATGGGGAGTGAAAGTGATGAACCGAGGCCAGGAGTTCCTATCGAAGATCATCCTTTCAGCAGTAATAAGAATGGAGCTTCTTGTTCGATGCTTCTTTCCAGAGATGGCATTCTTCAAGGGTGTTGAGAGAATCTAAAGTTATACACAATTAAGCATCCGTGGTTTGTTTTTGCTCATCTCAAGTAAAACAACTTAATTACTTGTCATTGAGACTAGATATTGTTGCGGAATACGGCTATCGGACAGAGTAAAATTGTAACTGATAATTTGAGAAAATAAAAACGAAGATAAAGAAGACACAAATTTTACGTGGAAAACCCCTAAATAATATAGGATAAAAATCATGGGCAACGGTAGAAGAATTTCACTATGAGAAAATAGGAATTATAACTTCTCTCGATCTAACAAGGAGAAAACAAAAACAATTTTCTCTTGATAAAAAGGAGAAAACAACTCTCAAGAAAACTCTCTAAATTCTCTAGTATTGGGAGAAAGCTAGAATGATTTGGGATGGTTTTGAAGCTAAATGAATTAGGGTATTTACAGTTGAAGCTTAAGGACTAATATTGTAAATATCTTAAAGTACGGAGACTAAATGTGCAATTATCCCATGTCACTTTTCAACCAACTTGCTGCCAATTTTCAACAATTTTTGCAGGGTGCTTTCAGTGTATGTGCATTTACACCAATTTTCAATAATCTTCCACTTGAAGATTTGATTGGAACAATCATATATTCACACAATTTTTTCTACCTTGTACCATCATGTTGCTTACGTTTTTGACAGGCCACAAGATGATCGACACCAAACAAATTTATCAACATTGATCGCTTTCGTCATGAAATCTGCTATGTTGTCTTTGGTATGGATTTTCTCCATATCTATCGTCCCTTCTTCCGCTTTTTCACGAATGAAATGGTATTGAACTCGTATGTGTTTTGTCCTTGAATGAAATGGTGGATTTCTTGCTAGATGCAAGGCGCTTTGACTGCCACAAAACAGAAAGACATACTCTTGATTGTGTCCAAGATCCTCTAATAGTATCTTCAACCAAATTGCTTCTTTACATGCTTGTGTAGCTGCTACATATTTTGCCTCTATTGTGGATGTAGCCACAACTGACTGCAATTTTGAAACCCAGCTTACAGCTTTACCAACAATTTTGAACACATATCCTGTAGTAGATTTGCTTTTATCCAAATCCCCTACATAGTCAGAATCTACATACCAGTTGATTAGTAAGTTTGATCTTCCGTAACATAATGCAACATTTGAGGTCCCTTTGATGTATCTTAGGATCCTCTTTACTGTATTCCAATGCTCTTTGCCTGGATTCACCATGTACCGACTAACCACTCTCACTGCTTGCGTAATGTCTGGTCTTGTACATATCATAGCGAACATTAAACTTCCCACCGCCGATGCATACGACACTCGAGACATCTCCATCCCCTCTTCTTCACTGCTAGGACTCATACTGGAGGATAATTTGAAGTTAATAGGAAGAGGGGTATAAATTAGCTTACAATCTTGCATGTTGAATCGTGACAAGATCTTATTCAAGTAATTCTTTTGTGAAATCCAAATCTTCCTATTACTTCTGTCTCGGTGAATTTGTATCCCCAGAATATTGTTTGCTGATCCCAAGTCCTTCATTTCAAATTCCCTAGCAAGTTGTACCTTCAATTCTTCAATATGATCTTTGTTGGGTCCTGCAACCAACATGTCATCCACATACAACAGTAATATAACAAAATCGTTATTACCAAACCTCTTGAAATAAGCACAAGGGTCTGCATTAAGTTTGTTGTATCCAAGGCATGTAACACCCCAACTTAGGGGCTAAATTTCATAATTATAAAGTGGTGAATTTAATTGGTATTTTTAGAGGAAAATTAAGGATTAAATTGAAAATTTTCAAAGTTGGCAGACCATTTTATAAAGTGCAAGAAATTCAGTGACTAAACTCATGATTTGACCATTTTTCTTTTGGGATGAATTATAAACCCCCGTTTTTTTTGCAGAAAAATATCATTTTCTCTCCTCCAGTCAACTCCCTTTGATCTCCGATCTACTCACCTTCTGGCGTCCGTTTGACGAACTAAAACCACAATCTTATTCATTGCTGACCGATGAACAAAAACCCTTAAACCTTGCATCATGAATCATCATCGTTTGTCGTTAATTTCAGTTGGAAGTATCGTCGGTTTTAACTTGTTTTCCATTGGTTTTTCATTGATTCATGTCGACCTGACCATTTTTTTTCGATATCTCCCGCATCATCGTGTACCTTGCATCATTCCGAGTCAACCGGTGTCCTCCGTTTCTCCGTCGTCACCGAAGCGTGGAGGGGTGAGAAAGTCAAAGTTTTCGATGTTTCAGAATCGAGCTCTCCACCGTTCAAAATTGTGAACCGAGCTTGGTAAGTGTCTAAAAATGCCTTAAAATAATTTTTAAAAATTTTTTAGAAATTTTTTCGACACCGTATCACTGTTCACACGCCGCCACTGCGCGTAGGGAAGTCCTATTTTGTAATTAATTTCTGTTAGGGTGATATTTGTGTAAAATTCGGGTGCTAGTTTTGTAAATATTTTTAGAAGAATGCCTAATTTGTAATTAATTTCTGTTAGGGTGATATTTGTGTAAAATAGTTGACCGTTGACCGACTGTTTTCCGTTGACCGTTGACTTTGATCGAAAAAGTCAAAATTTTCGAAAAGTATTTTTATATTTTTTGACGTCCTGAGTTCGATTATGCAGTCCGTTTTTCCAAATTCGGACCCGAAGGCCTTGAAATTGCCAGTCAAACCCTTTGACTTTGACCGAAAAGTCAATTTTTGAAAATACATTTTATGTTTTTCGACGTCCTGAATCCAAATTCGAAGTCTATTTCGCCAAATTCGAACACGGTAAGCTATATTTTTCACTGATTTATCATCCGATTCGATTCGTTTTTCAGAATTAAGCTCCGTTTTTTTATGTAATTTATGTTGATATGTATCTGAAGAATTATTGGAAGTTGAATTAAAGATCGAAGACGTTCGAATGAAATTTAAATGGTCGATCAGTATGACACAGAAATCGAGGTAATACTTTACTACCTCTTTATGCTTTATGGAACATGTGAATATTGGTAAATGCATGATTAAGATAATGTTGGTCTCATTTGTGTAGTTAATTAATTTCTTCACACGATCTGAATACGGTAAAAAGGTTCAATAATTGATTATGGCTCAAATGACTTTTATAAGAAATTGAGGGTTTGTTAGAATTAAATTACAAGTTATGTGCTTAGTGATAAAGAAATCAACCTGGATATGTAACTTATAATTTATTTTATCAAAGGTTAAATGTTAAAGGTACTTGGATGAGAAATTATAAAAATACTCTGGTAGGGTAAAATTATGAAAATACCCTTATGTTATAAAAAGATAAGATTTGACTATGGAAGTTGGATAAGAGGTTTTTAAAGACATATTGATCTGATGAAACTACTGATGTGCATAAGAAATGCTAGTTTTTCTTAGAAAATATAGATAACTGGTTTTTAACCTAAGAGGGTTTGGGCACGAATTTAGGAGTCTGTTAAGGAATCATTTCAAGATCCGAGAATGTTCGGGAAATCAATTAACCATAGGATATCTAAATTATATTATTTTCGTTAAGAGTTAATATCGAAGTTATCTGGTTAAGAAATTTCGAAAATTCCCTTGAGAGGTAAAAATAGTCCGAGTTGACCCTGAATGAGAAAGTACTTTGAGAATTCGTACTTAACTTGATTAAGTACGAATTTGATTGTTAAGATCCTGACTTAGTGCATAAAAATTCCTGATATTCCGTTTGTAAAATCTGAGAAGGCACTTGACCCGAAAATATCCGAGTTATGAGTAAATACCTGAAGAACAATTTATCATGGGTATTCTTTTGTCAGAATTGTTCGAATGGACTGAAATTAATGATAAGTTTGAATTTAATAATAAGATCGGATGGAAAGAATTGATTAAAATACACTGGATCTTTAAAATGACCAGAATACCCATGTAATGGAAATGACCCAAAAATATCACCAAGCTCAGGAATGATGGGATATCCTCGAGCTCTGTAATGATTGGAATAAAAACTGAACACCAAAAATGACCAAAATACTCTTATGGCCTATACTAAGTACCTGAACGACATAGATATTAATTGAACGCATGTTCGTCTTCTCAAGTTTGGTTCGATGATAATTTTGGAAATATTCAGCTCAGCAACTCTAGATCGCATTTAGTATTAAGAATTTTATATTTGTTTAACAGATCAACCACAAAGATAGAACTAAACTGAACAAAAGTACATTATGTATCTGAAATTCAGAAAACATCTGAATTACTCTGGAAAACTCCGAAGACTGCTAAATGAGCTAAGTAACCTCAATGATTGAGGATTAAGTGAGTGATTTGGATAAGTCTGGAAACTCTGATGAGTTTATAAGATGTATTGTCCTTATGGGTTATGAACTACAAATCAAGCATGTCAGTATTTCATGATATCGTGGAAGTGTGAAAATGAAATAATGACTATTGGAAGATCTATTCAGCCATGATTCTGAAGATGATCTATGGACAAGAATTTGTGGTATTAAAGATTAAATACCCTGGAAAGACAATGAATTGACCAGTCGACAAGCAATTATTCTGGGAGATATTCATCTCGATTTGTTCGATTATCCGATCAATCGACATGGTTGTAAAGGATTCTGAATACCCTTCTGATTACGTTCAACTTCCGAAAACTGTCCGAATAAGATATGATCCTAATAATTCATATTCTGAATAATTGATGATTCTGTCAGTTAATAAACTCTTCCAATAGTGATTCTAAATTTCGATATTCTATCGGTAAACTGAAGATCCGTGTTTCTCTGCCGATAAGATTATTCAGTGTCTCTAAATAACATTTGGAAACTCTATTGTGTTCCCTAATTACATGAATGTTTTATCTGATTTTCGGTTTGAAATATGATCTGATTTCTGATCTGAATTCTGTTCTGATATATGATATGAATTCTGTTTTGATTTTTGATATCTCTATTTATTGACGGAAAAATGTTTTATTTGGGGTATTGTTGGAGGAAGAATATATGCATGCTCCTCGGCTTTGTGCTCAGGGCCTAACTGTTGTGCCGGGGTTCTATGGTTATGGGGAACTTAAACATTATGATGTGTTCGGTTGGGGAGTTTACTATGGTTTTTGATAAATGTTTTATTTGGGGGGATATTGTTGGAGGAAGAATATATGAAGGCTCCTCGACTGTGTGCTCAGGGCCTTACTATTGTGCCGGGGTTGTATGGTTATGGGGAACCTACACATTATGGATGTGTGCGGTTGAGGGAATTACTATGATTTCTGAATGTTTTAAAAAATATATATCTTTTCACTGGTTTTGCGGGAACACACTAGATAACCTATTTTGATCTCCTGAACCTAGACATTCGAAATATTTCTCTGAACTGAAAGCTCATTGTCTGTTAACATCTGAAATATCAGTAGGATCTCTGCTCAACATAAAAATCTATGGATGTTTGGAATCAATAAGAAAAATATATGTTTATCTGTATCTGCATGTTCTTCAGCATTATCTGATAGTTTTGTACTACTGAGCTTTCCAAAGTTCACTCTGTTACTCATCTTTTTAGGTTAAAAGAATCATACCAGTATAACTATCGACATCAGTAAGGGAGTTCTTCCGGGGTTGCTTGCAGAGTATGGTACATGTGATTAGGGGGCATGTAATTGTATTTTGTTTTATATACGAGTCTGAAAATCTATTTTAATTATGTATACTGATTTAAAGATTTTATGATTTTACATGTTTTAATAAAAGTTTTAAATTTTCCACTATTTTTACAGTGGGGTCGCTCCGGTGACCCTAATATGATACTCTAGATGGATCAAGTTACCCTTATCGGTCTGAGGAAGTTATCTTTTATACCAACACCTCGGCGCCTGCTTTAGACCGTACAGAGATTTGTTCAACCTACAAACCAAGTTCTTCTTTTCTTTTTCTTGAAAACCTTCAGGCTGGAGCATACAAATCTATTCTTCAAGATTTCCATGAAGAAAAACTGTTTTAACATCTAGCTGTTCTAGATGTAAGTTCAATGTAGCACACATTGCCAAGACTACTCGAACTGTTGTTAGTCGAACCACAGGAGAAAAGATTTCATTGAAATCAATATCTTCTTTTTGAGCATATCCTTTGACCGCCAGTCTTGCATGATACCTCTAAACTTGATCGTTACCATTTCGCTTGATTTTGAAGACCCATTTGTTATCAATTGGCTTCCTTCCTTGTGGTAGTGGCACAAGGTCCCATGTATTATTTTTATGAAAGGCTTCAATTCCTTCTTGCATTGCCATCATCCACAGTGAAGCATTTGAGCTGTTTATTACATCCTAGAATGTTGATGGCTCATCGTCCTCTGTTAAAAGGCAGTATGCAATATTTTCTTCTATAATATAATCTGAGTGCCAATTGGGATGCCTTCTCACACGATCTGATTGACAAGTTGTTGGAGCTTCAGAACTCTCTGGTTCTTGTTCATAATGTGTTGGTTCTGCTTTAGAAGAATCTCATTATTCAAACTCATTTTTGCACATGTATCTGTGTATTCTCTGAATTTTCAGTGCTATCATCATCTTCTTTTCTTTGTAGTTTATCTTCTGTAAAGATAACATCCTTACTGATGACCACTTTGCAGGCAGTGGGATCCCACAAGCGATACCTCTTTACTCCATCAGCATACCCCAAGAATTTGCATTTCCTAGATTTTGGATCCAACTTTGAAATTTCTTAGGAGTTGTACATCATGTACACTATACTTCCAAATACATGGAGGTGTGAATAATCAGCTGGTTTACCAATCCACATCTCTATTGGTGTCTTCAGCTCTATTGCAGTTGATGGAGCTCGATTCACCAAATAACAAGCAGTATTGACTGCTTCTGCCTAAAATGATTTTTCTAGGCTTGCATCCCTTAACATTGCTCTTGTTCTTTCTAACAATGTTCTATTCATCCACTCTGCCACTCCATTTTGTTGAGGAGTGTTCGCCACTATGAACTGTCTTTTGATGCCTTCTTTCTTGTAAAAGTCATCAAATTCTTTATTTGTGTATTCTCCTCCATTATCTGTTCTGAAACACTTGATCTTATTTCCATAATTAAGTTCCACACACACTTTGAAGTTTTTGAAAGTTAAAAATGTCTGACTTCTTCTTAATAGGGTACACCCAACATCTCCTAGAGTAGTCATCAATAAATGAGACAAAGTATTTTACTCCACCTAGGGATGTAACTGGTGCTTGCCATAAGTCAGAATGAACCAATTCTAGAACACTTTTGCCTCTAGAATTTGACATGTTGAATTTCATCTGGTGCTGTTTAAGTTTTATACAATGCTCACACAAAGTAAGTGATACCTTTGTTAAGCTTAAAAGTAGCTTTTGCTCCACAAGAACTTTCATTCCTTGTTCTGACATGTGTCCAAGTTTCTGATGCTATAGCATTGCAGAATATGAACTACATGAGGCAACAGAGGCTTCTGCTTCTGGCAAAGTCTCTCCCTTCATCATGTACAAGTTTTCTGCTATCTTTCCACCTTTCATCACCACAAGCGCTCCACGAAACACCTTCATGATTCCTTTCCGTGTTTCAATCTTTCTTGCATTATTATCCAACAATCCGTAGGATAATAAATTTTTCTTCAGGCCTTTCACGTGCCTTACATCTTAAACAACTTTAATTGTTCCATCATACATCTTCAATTTGATGGTTCCCATGCCAACGATCTCTAAGGCATGATCATTGCAACTATACACAGGTCCTCCTGAGACAGGTTCATAATGATGGAACCATTCTCTTCTTGAGGTCATGTGATATGTTGCTCCTGAATCAATGAGCCATATATCTGTAAATCTCTTTCTACCTTCCACGGTGGTTGACGCTTCACAACATAGAGGATCTCAATCATCTGAAGTGTTTGCGGTATTGCCTTGTGAATTGGAGTTTTTACCTAGAATCCAACAATCTTTCTTCAAGTGACCCTTCTTTCCACAATTGTAGCACTATAAATTCTTCTTGCTTCTCAACTTTGATCTACCAAGTTTGTGACTGCTGTTTTGGCCACGTTCTGTTGATCTCCCTCTCATCGTTGTCAATGTTTCTGCTTGTTGCAGATTTACTTGTCTGTCTTCCTTGCTCTTGCGCCGATTTTCTTCTTGTAGAACAACAACTGCAACGTCATCGAAGACTAGACTGGTGACATTACTATTTATCAAGTTGATGATGAGTTGATCATACGAATCAGGTAGACTTTGAAGTAGAAGTTCAACACGTTCTTGTTCTCCTATTGTACATCTTAATGATGTAAGCTGAGAAAATAAAGTGTTCAGTGTGTTTAAGTGCTCCGTCACTGAAGTAGATTTTGGTATACGGAGAGTGTACAATTTCCTCTTAAGGAAAATTTTATTGTGCAACAATGTGGCCTCATACAGTTTGCTGAGATGATCCTATATCTCCTTAGATGTCTTCTTCTCCTCAATGCTTGACAATACTTCATCTGCTAATGCTAGATGAAAGTTTGCCATAGCATTCCCGTCCATTTCGATCTATTTGTTGTCATATGTGAAATCTATCGACCTTTCACTGATAGCTGCTAGACAACCGTCTTTTCTCAGGATGACCTTCATCTTCAATTTTCATAATGAGAAATTTCTCCCATTGAACTTTTCAATATCAAATTTCGTTGCCATAGCTTCTATTACGGATAGCTCCCACTATATCACTATCGTGAATAGTTTTCTGAAACCTTCAAAGAATGGGTAATAACTTCTTACTTTCTTATGTTGGAGGATCCACCTTTTGGTGGCAACCACAAAGACAATAAGTAGATATTACACACTCAAATCTTGTTATTGATACCAATTGTTGCGGAATACGGCTATCGGATAGAGCCAAATTGCAACTGATAATTTGAGAAAATAAAAATGAAGATAAAGAAGACACAAATTTTACGTGGAAAACCCCTAAATAATATATGGTAAAAACCACGGGCAACGATAGAAGAATTTCACTATGAGAAAATAGGAATTACAACTTCTCTCGATCTAACAAGGAGAAAACAATAACAATTATCTCTTGATAAAAAGGAGAAAACAACTCTCAAGAAAACTCTCTAAATTCTCTAGTATTGGGAGAAAGCTAGAATGATTTGTGATGGTTTTGAAGCTAAATGGGTTAGAGTATTTATAGTTGAAGCTTAAAGACTAATATTGTAAATACCGTAAAGTACAAAGACTAAATGTACAATTATCCCATGTCACTTTTCAACCAACTTACTGCCAATTTTCAACAATTGTTGCATGGTGCTTTAAGTGCATGTGCATTTACACCAATTTTCAACAGATATTTCTAAACAAATATTTGTATGTTTTACTATTTGCTTCATATTTGTATGTGAGTGACATGATGTCTTTACCTTACATAAGATAAATAGATTTTATTTCGATATTATTTTAACAATCGGTGAATATGGATAAATAAAATGCAAAAACAAAAGAAACGCTGGAATGGCATTGAAAGAAATGCTACGAGACATAAAAAACAAAGGAATTTGAAATCTACCATTAGCTCCACCATCTTTTATAGTTCCAACAAAATGATCATCAAGAAAACAAGAGAAATAGGATGAAATAAGAGAAACAGTAACGGTTTAGAAACTTGGTAGCCTGAATTGTTAAGCCAAAAAAACCAACACATTAGCTACTTTTAGGCCTCTTTTGAATTCTGAGGAATTAGAAGCATTTCCTGTGCACGATAGATGGACCAGATTCATCATACTCTGCCTTAGCAATCCACATCTGCATTCCATACGTATCACGATCAGTGAATGACTTGTGTACAATGTGCATTATAGGTTCAAAACATTTTATGTGTTTGTCATTTTAAGTTTAGATCGTTCTATGATCGAGTTGAATTTGAATTCAGTCGATTGAGTTTCGGGTTTGGATCTTTCAATTAAGTCAATGATACCTGCTGGAAAGTACTGAGAGATGCCAAGATGGAGCCTCCAATCCAGACACTGTATTTCCTTTCAGGTGGCGCTACCACCTTAATTTTCATGCTGCTAGGTGCCAAGGCAGTGATTTCCTTGCTCATTCTGTCAGCAATTCCGGGGAACATGGTCGTTCCACCGCTGAGAACGATGTTCCCATACAAATCCTTCCTTATATCCACATCACACTTCATGATCGAATTGTATGTCGTTTCGTGAATGCCTGCAGCTTCCATCCCGATCATTGAAGGCTGGAAAAGGACTTCAGGGCAACGGAATCGCTCAGCACCAATCGTGATCACCTGGCCATCAGGCAACTCATAGCTTTTCTCAACAGAAGAACTAGTTTTTGAAGTCTCCAGCTCTTGTTCGAAATCAAGTGCGATATACGCGAGCTTCTCCTTCACATCCCTTACGATTTCACGCTCAGCCGTAGTGGTAAATGAATAACCACGCTCGGTCAAGATTTTCATAAGTGCATCAGTAAGGTCACGTCCTGCGAGATCAAGCCGGAGGATGGCGTGGGGGAGGGCATACCCTTCATAGATAGGGACAGTGTGGCTCACACCATCCCCAGAGTCCAGAACAATACCTACATAAAGTATGTTATGAATGTGTAACCAAGTGAAAATCTGAAGTGTTGAATGGCTTACCAGTTGTTCGCCCACTGGAGTAAAGGGAGAGAACAGCCTGGATGGCAACATACATGGCAGGAGCATTGAAGGTCTCAAACATGATCTGGGTCATTTTCTCTCGATTCGCTTTCGGATTAAGAGGGGCCTCGGTGAGAAGAACAGGGTGTTCTTCAGGAGCCACACGGAGTTCATTGTAAAAGGTGTGATGCCAAATCTTTTCCATATCATCCCAGTTGTTGACAATGCCGTGTTCAATGGGATATTTAAGAGTGAGAATACCACGCTTGGATTGAGCCTCATCCCCAACATATGCATCTTTCTGACCCATCCCAACCATCACACCAGTGTGACGTGGACGACCCACAATACTAGGGAACACAGCTCTTGGTGCATCATCACCAGCAAATCCAGCCTATAAACATTACAATGCATCACTAATAAAAACATCCTACATCAAGACGCATTGAGTTGAAAAATTCGATTTTTCCAGCCAGTTCGAGTTTTGCTCACTCCTAATACCATTCACAGAAATAGGAAAACGGTGAATCCTAAATTCGTACCTTAACCATTCCAGTTCCATTATCGCATACGAGTGGTTGAATATCTTCACCCTCAGCCATCTTTGTATCACCAGCTGAAATGAAGCATCAAATTCAGATCAACATATTCCACCAAATTAATGAAAAAAACAGATTGGTTTCTGAATCTTGTTTTGTTTTTCGCATGAATGATGAATCAATCACCTGCGAAAAAGCGAAAGGTAAAAACGTAGAAAGATGATGTAAACTGCCCTCCCTTTAGGATCCAAAAAGGAAATTGCAAGTGGAAAACGATACAGCTTTTTGAAATTTAAATCGGATAGGTAAAACTTTGTACTTATTTTACACCTTCTTACCGTGCCCTTCGCTCCTATCATCCTTCTACGGTTCAAATGAGCGCTTCAACCGGTAAATTCGTTTTCCCATCCATCCATATTTTCTTTAAGAAAAGAGATAAAACATTCATTTAGTCTCTCCGTGATATTAATCGTGTAATTTTTTAATAGTACGTGTGATTGTAAAAATAATATATATTTTTAATTTTTTTTATATTATTGACCACGCATGCATATTTTAAATAACTACTCGAATTTAAGGTACGAGAAAAACACTTCCTTCAACATTATTATCAATTTGGACCGCTGTATACATGTTTTCATTGAGCTGGTTAAAAAAATAAGAAATATTTTCTTCTGTTGTTTAATTTCTTTAACAAGTATTTTCAATTTAATATTTCTTACCGATTTTCTTAATAATTTATATTGTCAATGCATAAAATATTAATTGCACGAACAAAACGATCTTAGTGAGAAAATAATTGTTGTTATTCTTTGAGGTCCCGGTTAGAGCACCAGAAATACCAAGAACGTGAACATTCAATGTCAAATGGTTGAAAGTTATCTTTAAACATATATTATCTTATACTTACCTAAATTAATAAAAAAAACAATTGAGCGGTTATAAATTCTGTGCAGCAGTTATAACTTTGTATATAGGTGTTACAAACATTTTAAGTAGATTATCGTTCGATTTTATTATTTTTCAGTTATATTTTAACATATTTATAATAATATTTTCTCTCGATCCCTTCCTTGATAAAGGGTATATTATAATATCAAAATGATTATTGATAAACAAATAAATATGATCTATAAAAAAGAACACCAAGATTTACGTGAAAACTCCAAAAGGAAAAAACACGGGCAAATGAGAAGAATTTCATTAATATGAACGAAGAAAATACAAGAGGATTTTGGTAAAAGAAAAACTTGATATATAACATTTACCCTTAGTATCTATTTATATATATATATAGATATTTGATTACAAAGGAATTAAACTAAATAGAGTAGAAGTCTACTTTAATAAAGTTCTCCACTTTTAATCAAACTAGGATTCTTATTTTCCCAAATTTAAATATTAATTAATTTGTGACACTTTAAATTCGAGTCAAACTCTAATAAATCTTTACCTTGACACGAATTCTGAAAGTGCGAAGGTTTCGAGACAAAACACCTAAACTCAACGAAAAAATAATTATTCACTTCAACGAACAAGTTCTCCACCTCTTCCACAACACCTCTCAAAGGGATAATCTTCAAAAATGGAGATCGATCGAATCCCAACTTTTTCTAAGCTTGGATTTATTCTTCACATCTAAATGATTATTATAACTGCCAAGTTCTTTCACAAATGTATCACAACAAACAATATTATGCATAATACGATCTCGATCATCAATGATAGTTTTATCTTCAAATTCGTTATGCCTACAAAATTGAGCTATTTTTTAGTTCACATCATCTTTCTGCCCATAATTATCTTGTTCAACAAAAAATCTTCTTTTACTTAATTTAGTCAAGACAATTTTACGAGTAACATCATTATTTGACACGGGGAAGCAAACATCAGTTGCATTATCTAAAATTGTTGAACCCTTTAGAACATAAAATTTGGCAGTTTTTCTCCGCCCTTTCATCACAACAAGATAGGGATGGAAAACGAGCGAGGCAGAATGGGTGCGAATACCTCTTCCCCTATCCCCATACCCACCTAATATATTTGTATCCACCACCTACCCACCACCCACGATTAGGGATGGCAAAAAAACTCGAACCCGACGGGGAAAATCGAATTAAACGGGTCGAGTTCGGGGATGATAAACGGGGAAGGGGACAGGGACGGAAAAAAATTGTTTATGCTAAATGGGAACGGGGACGAGTTTGGTAATCCCCGTCCTGATTACCCGGCCTGATACCTGGCCCGATAAATATTAAAAATAATTATTATATATATATATATATAAATATAATATTAATAAATTTAATTTAAATTAAAAAATATATATAATATTTTTATATTTAATTTAAATATATATATACCCAGCCCGATACCCAGCCCGATACCCGTTTATGCTAAACGGGGATACCCGTTTCCCCGCGGTTTTCCTCGATTACCAGATGGGGATCCCCATTTAAATCACTGCTATTTTTTAAGCGGGGACGGGTACGGGTTTTTTAAATGGGGACGGGGACAGAGGGACCAATATCCGGCCCAAACCCAGCCCGTTGCCATCCCTACCCACGATGGATAAAATTTTTAAATCCACACCTGCCCGTGCAAGTATATTCTTAAATCCACCCCACACCCACTATCCAATTGGTTACCCACTACCCATCTTGTACCCGCTTGTATATGTAACACCCTAAATTACATGTTAGTAGTTTCGGGTTTACCCAAGAGGTAAGTAAACCATGTGAAATTTATAAATTAAGTTGTTGGGATTACTTGGGTTAGATTTAGGGCCCAAATAGTCACAAAAAAGGGATTTTTAATTAAGGGACACAATATGAATAACTTAAAGTGTAATTAGACCATTGTTGGTTTTGGAAGATATTACCGAGGGTTTTAAAGGGGTTTCAGTCGTGGGTTTCCTTCCCACTTCTTTTCTCTTCATTGTTCTTCTTTATTTATTCTTCCTTAATCTCCTTCAAGTGACTATAGCTTCAAGGTAAGATCTTTTTCTTACTTCATCGCATCCTAATAAACCCTTAACAACCTTATTTTTTAGAATATTCAATCTTTGGGTTTTGTTTTCATGAAAAATAGGAGCTTTCTCCATCCAAGCCTTGAGGAGGTTGATTTCTAGCTAAAGGAGGTTCATTTCAGGATTCAAGCATCAAGGTAGCGTATTTCTAATCCTTTGGAGTATTAAGGTTTCATAAATCTATGGTTTTTTTAAGATTTGATTATTTGAGCATTTTAGGGTTTATTATTAATTTCTCAACCAAACCACATTTTAGGTGTTAATCACATGATTTAATGATGCCCAATGACCCTAAATAAATTACTAAAACTTTAGAATAAGTTTAGAAACCAATTCATGTCGTTTGCAGTGATTTTTGAGTGATTCCTGAGCTTAAGTGTAACATCCTCCATACCGAGTTAGTGATTAAATTATGAGATTTAAAAATTTAGTGACCAAATTGGATAAATTGAAAAGTTCAAAGAATTGATTGAAATATTTGTTGTAGTATCAATTAGCAAAGAAGGTGGAATTAAAGGGGCAAATGAGTCTTTTGACAAGGAAAACAATTAAATATTAGTTGATGAGATTTTATAACCACGTGGAAGTTAGTAGAGAAGGCAAAAGTTTCCAGATTTCTCTTCTTCTTCTTTCTTTCTTCTTCACCGTGAAGACAAAGCTAAATGTGAGTTTTCTTGTTAATCAATTTCTTGATGAATTTAAGGTTGCTTATTGATCATTAGATGATAACTAAGATTAAGGAAAGCTTAGGTTATCTTAAAACCATAAGATGATGGGGTTAGGAAGGATTAAAGAAAGGAAGTAGAAAAGTAAAATCTTGGATTAGAGTTCATAATAAGAATTAGAAGTGAGATTTGACTTGTCATCAAGCTAATTAAAGGATATGAAGTGTCAGAATTCGATTTAGAACATGTTGGAATTTGAGTGAAATTCTTAAATTTTATATGGAGAATTGGATTTCTAAGTTTTAAAGGTATCAAATGGATAATAATTAGTTTAAGTAAGTGCAAGTTAGGGATATAAAAAATGAGGTGAATTATGAAGTGTTGAGAGGATTATAAAGAGATTTTTGTGCTCAAAATAACATTTATGGGCTATGTGCATCGATGCACATTCAATATGCACCGATGCATCAAGGATAAATCCCAGAAATTGTTCAAGGTGTATCGATGTACATGAAGTGCATCGATGCACTAATTTAAAATAAAAACATCGAATGTCATCAGTGTATCGATTCACAAGTAGTGCATCGATGCACCCCATTAAATACAAATATCGAATGGCATTTATGCACCGATGCATAGATAGTGCATCGATGCACCCGTCAAGGGATGCATCGATACATGGTGTAGTGCATCAATGCATACCTCTATTAAAAGATGAAAATGGCTTTTCTTTTAACCCAAGAAATGATAGTTTAGAATATATTAATTAGTATACTGATAAGTATCAATGAATTACTATGTAGATACAGAGACTAAACAAGTTCCAGAACAATTGCTTAGTAGGATCGATCAAGGAAAAGGCAAAGAAATATAGGTGAGTGCATATGCATAGCATGAATATAGTAGTATATTCAGTTCTAGACTTGTGAGAAGTCTAGATTCAATACATTGATGCATGATTCATTTCATATTGTGAAGCATGATATGAATTCATACTATGTGCATTGAGTAACATGTTTTGAATGAATATGTATACAAAGTTATATGAGCCATGTGATGAAGGTAAGGAAATGATATGTCTATACGATATATTATGTAATTTGGGAAAAGCCCATGTTATGTAGATGAGAACTATAGGTATAGTTGGCATGCCAAGAGTAGAGGGTCTACGCGGTCCTTCGGGATATATATGTATTCTTTGGAACATGTGTGAGGTCTTTAAGACACATACTTGATCCTTGGCATATGTATATGATTCTTAAGGAATTATCTACGTGGTCCTTAAGAACAATCTTATATGGCACTACGGTGCAATTCTACGTGGCACTTTGGTGCAATTCTACGTGGCACTTCGGTGCATTTATACGAGCTGTGGTGACAGCATAGTGCACAACCTCATAGTACTCACATACCTTGGGTTCTCCGTATAGTATCATGGGCTAGTGAACTGATTAATATGAACCTATGAGTGTTAATGTGATGAGTTTATGTGTAAGAAACATGGTTATGTACATTATACAGATTAAATACATATGTTATTGCATTTCATTTCATTTTTGGCATTCTCATGATATTTCTTTATTATTATTATTATATTGCCTCACTAAGTCGATGACTTAGCGTGTGAGTGTTTCACACGTAGGATCCGAGAATGTAGACGAGACAAGTTAAGCAGCGGGGCAACACTACTCCTGTAACTATCAGATCAGAGGCAACTTAATCAGTAGGTCATTTTATTATGTAAATAAATGTTGGCATCTAATCAAAGGGTCGAGTTGTGTATGCTTTGAGTATTTTGATAAACTTGTATTAACATATGTATATTAATTTATTTTAATAATATAAGTTCAAATGTTTTATCGGTTTTTTTAAGAGTATTGTTTTGTTTAGTCAATGTAACATCCTGGACTCGTATCCGGGTCGGGTATGGGTTGAGGGCGTTACATTTA